GGCCCTGGCGGCGGAGGCGGGTGAGTGAGCCCGGGGCGGGGCCCGGGGCGGGGCGACAGGCTGCCGGGGCCGGGCCTCCATAATGCGGCAGCTGCTGTGTTGCGAGGGAGACGTTTGCGCGCGCTCCGCTGCCCGCGCCCGGCCGCCTCCCGCTATGATTTGCCTCGTGCTGGCGCTGTTCGCCCACGTCTTCCAGCTCGGTGAGTGCGGCCCGGCCCGGCTGCGGGAGCGTGAGGCGAGGCGGCCCCGGCCGAGCCGCAGCGCAATCGCGGTCCCGGTCCATCTCCCGCCTTCCCCCGCGGCCGTCCCAGTGCCTGGCGGCTCCGCGCCTAACGCGCTCCCCGCTCCCCGCAGGCCGCGGCGCCGAGCGCACGTTCGTGGCCGTGAAGCCGGACGGGCTGCAGCGGCGCCTGCTCGGGGACATCGTGCGGCGCTTCGAGAGAAAGGGCTTCCGCCTCGTGGCCATGAAGCTGGTGCAGGTGAGACCCCTCTGGGGCGGGTCAGCGGCCCGGCGGGGAGCACGCCGCCGTGGCTGCGGGGCCAGGGGTGGTTTGAAGGGAGCTGAGGTGCAGGCCTGGGGCAGTCCCTGGGCCCAGGGCGGTGATTCGCCCTGCGCTGGCCCGCAGCTCCTGGTTTTGGAGGTGGCAGGTGCAGAAATGCGAACCTGACCTGCACCAAGGGCCTGGGCGCTAGGCTTTGTGGTGGCACGGAGTAGCGGCACCCAGGGCAGGTTCAAGCTTCTGTATCTGACCCTAGTGGGAGTCTGGAACATGCCCCAAACCGCACAGAGGTCTGAGGGCCCTGGGACCTGCCCCTGGCAGGGAGCACATCTGCCTTCCCTGCTGGATGTAGCTGCTTCTGGTTGACAGCGTCCCAGCATAGTGGTGTCTAGTTCAGAGGAACTTGCTTTGGCTTCTTGTGTGCTTCCCCAGAGACATCCTGGCTGTAATGCATCTAGTGATCAGAGTAGCATAGGCAAGGCTCCTGCCCTTCAAGGAGGGCTTGTGTTAACTAAACCTCTTGTGCCACCTGCTGCAGCCAGCCCAGCAGAGGGATTTTATTTGCATTGCTTTCCTGGCCAGGGCAAACATCTGACATGACTGAAAGTGTAGTTCTCAGTAGGACCAAAATGCTGTTTTCAAATACAACTTAAGCCTCTGTGAAAGTCAGTGGGACGTAGGCACGGAAATGTTTAAGTTGCTTTTAAGAGTTGTGACTTAGTAACTAGAAGTTTCAAAAGCGCTTATGTTTTCCTTGGATCACTCCACCCTCTGGGCCTTTGCTTCAGGCTTTCTGTGTTGGAGGGTATTGGAGAATGGTACGTGTCTGCCCAGAACAGGTTGCCTGTGAGGGTCTCAGATAAAGGCCTGTCTACTCAAAGAATTAAGCTACAGCAAACTGAGCCCCCCTTCCTCTTGAATGGCAGCACCTGCATAGGAGTTCAACATGCACCCACTGACTTGACACCTTTACCTGATTATTTTTTTTTCCCCTGAGCATCCCTGTATAGACATGGCCTAAATCTTGGGGAATAACTGCAGTGCACTGAGTAGAGTAATAATGAGGGTTGGCTCATTTATTAGTAGTATTTTCTTTTTGCCCCCAAATTATCAGGAGTCTGTTGATCCTTTACCTTAGTGGATACCCCATGTGCTGTGGATACGCTGCTTATGTACAAGATGACCCATAAGGCAAAAGTCAACACCTTTGGGAAGTGTCTTGAAGGACAAAGGATAGCTAGACGATGAAGGCTTTGCTTCAAAGCCACAGGGGAAAGGGGATAGGTAGCTTGGCTGGACAGTCTGATGCCTTTCAGGAGAGCAAACATATATAGAGGCAGTTCTGCTACTTCTGTGTCTTCCAGCATTTCTGATGAGCATGAGCCAATAATGGAAACTGGTTTGTGATAATTGGTGTGAAGGACACCTGCTTGCTAAAGAGCTTGCTCTGACTCTAGAGTATGGCCTCACAGAACCTTTCCAGCAGGCAGAACTTGAACTGGGGGAGCACAGAGTGATTCCTCAAAAGAAGATATGCACCAGATACACGTGTTCCTTGCAGAGGCTGCTCACTTCCCCCTTGCAGTTGTGCTAGGGAGTCACTCAGCCAAGCCACAGCACAGAGGAGAAAGCCTAAGCAGACCTTTCTGGCTCTCCAGGCAGTCCTCCCAGTCCATTTTGGAACCATCCTGTTCTGCCAGAATATACTAGATCATGTGCTGTGTTTGTGCCCAGGCCTCAGAGGACCTACTGAGTGAACATTACTTTGCCCTTCGTGATCGCCCCTTCTACAACCATCTGGTGAAGTACATGAGCTCGGGGCCTGTGGTCGCCATGGTGAGTGCCAGCCAGAAACCATTTTGACTGCTGAGATAAGCTTTGACTTAAATGCATTAGCTTTCCTACATCTTTCTTAGAGCTTTCTTGGGGGCAGGTGCTGCTCTGACTTGCCCTTTGTGTGACCTCAGGGGTGACAGTGGGTTGGAAAGAGTAGAAGGCCTGATCTGGCCCTTGATGTGTGGCAGGCTGGGGAAGCTGACTCTTGCTTTGCTGTCTGGTAGGTTTGGCAGGGACTGGATGTGGTGAAAACTGCTCGTGCAATGATTGGAGAAACTAATCCAGCTGATTCCAGACCTGGCACCATCCGCGGGGATTTCTGCATTGAAGTCAGCAAGTAGGAGCACTAATTTTTTTGTTGTTGTTGTTCTGGCATATGGTCAAAAGAGACACTTTCTCAGTTTACTCCAAGCACCATGTCCTAGTACTGTCCTTTCACTGGGGGGTGGGAGGGCATGGAGTGTAACACATCTAGTATAACCTTACTTTGGTTACCCTAGAAGGCAGGAGAACGAAACACTAGTGGCCTCTAGAGCAAAGAGAGGTTTTCTTGATTAGGTAACATAACCTCACGTGTGTTCCAGTTCTGGGATTTGTATCCTAAAAGTGTGGTCTGTTTGGGGTTAAATCTGAGGCCCCTTGCCTAAGCGTGAAAGGGACTATAACACTAATTCAGTTAATGTAAAGCTAGCCATTGGCACAGCAGCGTTCCTCTTCAGAGTGCAGCTCAGACATTAAACTTATCTTTGCAATGCTGCTCTGAGGGAGGTGAGGAACTTCAAGCGGAAAGAGTTCATATGACTTGTCTGTGTCCAGAGAGAGCCTGCCAGAGCTACCCTTAGGATCTGTCTCCATTTCTAGCTCCCAGGTGTTCAGACCACACCCATCTCCTCTAGCAGAACCACTTTGCATAGCAAACAAGACCATGAAGGCTATTTGTACTAGGCCTTAGTAGTTGGCCTTATAAGATAAGGAGGGGGCTTGATGCCTTTTTTTATTGCTAAATTACCTTTTGGGGCATAGGAGAGAGGGTCGTTCTTTGATTTTTCTTGATATCCCTATAATAAAAGCACACCTGGCCTATGGAAGGGCTCCTTGGAGTACATTAGGGAGCTCTCCCAGGCACTAACTAAGAGGATGGGAACACTGTCTTTAGCAGATCTTCCATGTTTCCGGGGTATTGGTTGTAGCTGTGTTGGTCTAAGGGCGCAGGCAGACAAGGTTATTTGGGTAAATATGATATCTCTTATTAGATTTCTGCATGCCATCTGATAACCCCAGGTAACCTCTCTACATTTTACCAGCTGCATTCTATCACCAGGTCAACATTCCCCTTCTCTGCATAAAGACACCTTGGAATGGGAGATGAGGCTTAAACTTCTGGTATAAAAACAAATAGAACTAAAAGTAACCAGCACCTTTTTAGCTCTGTGGGCAGCCAGAGAAGCAGGTATCAATGCAGCAGACAGAAGATGCCATTCAGTCCAAGCAAATAATACTACATCCTAAAGGAGAGTGGGAGCTGCAGAATACAATGACCTTCAGTGTAGTCATGTCCAGCAGTAGTGGGGTGCAGAGGGGAATGTTTGACAAAGGCACTTGTCCAGCAGCGTATATCACCGGCCAGAGTGAAACTGTTCCCCCTTCTGTATCAAGCATGAAGAATACTTGGTGCATGTTCAGTGCTCTTATTCATTTACACAGTACGGTTTCACTGTGTCACTGGGACACATACAGCTGCTCCTTACGTGTCCCATAGCTACTTCCCATAACTTCCTTTGGCTTCACAGGTTACTGCCCACTTTTCACTCTTAAATGATCACTTTCATTAAAATAATAAGGTTAAATGGAAATGATTGTTCTAATAGATATATATTCTTCAGGCCATGTCTGTTCCTTTCCCATACCTGAGAAGCTTTTGCACCCAAAATGCCCTGTCCTGCATGCCTCCCAACTAAACAGTTTGCCTTGAAAGAATATTACCTCACCTCACTAATCTTGCTTCTCATGTATTCCCTGGACCATCATGGACAGAACACCACTGCTTGGAGAGTACAGTCTGATCCTTTTTCCTATCCCCACAGGAACGTGATTCATGGCAGTGATTCTATCAAGAGTGCACGAAGGGAAATCTCGCTCTGGTTCCGTGAAGATGAGCTGATCTGCTGGGAGGACCATGCTGAGCACTGGATTCATGAGTAACAAGAATGACTCTGAGGAAGCCCTTCTTGCTATCCTTCAGGCTTGGTGCATACCCGTCCACTTCCATTTCAGCCTCTCTGGGATTACTGTGGGCTATTGTATTATCTCTTTCCAGTGGAGCTTTCTTTCCAGGATATGTGGGGTGGGAAAGCAGGGAGTCTGTTCTCCATTTGTAACATTTAAGTTTCAGCTCCATGCAGTAAGAGTGGTCTCATCCCCTAGTTGGTACTGCCTGTTTTGTTCACTCACACCTCTGTGATATCCTAAAAATCACAAGATTGGTTATGTTCAAGGGACCTAAGAAAAGGAAAGACAGTTTGAGTTTTGTGCCCTTCTTGGCAATTAAAAAGGTTATAAAGGCAGACCAGAAAGCTGCATTAAAACTTTGTCCTATCTGCTGTGAAAGGTTGTCTGGAAAACAGGGAATTGTGGAAGTGATGGCATCATAAGAATCAAGAGTAAAAAGGGAGTATCTGAGGGGAAGATTTGTAGATCTCAAGATCAGAAGGGATCAGTAAGATCATCTAGTCGGATATCCTGTGTAAGAGGCCAGAGACTTTCACCTAGGAATTCTTGCATCAAATATGTATGTTCTGTTGAACCATAGAGCATGCAAGCTTGATTTCAAAACTGTTGGCTCTACTGATGAATTACTCCTACTGTGGGGGGGGGGGGGGGAA